TCAAATTTATAACTAAACATGCAGCTCACACAACAGTATTCAGACAGCTGCACATATATTTGTTTTTCAGACACTTTCTTGTCCTCTGTATATTTAATCTGAATTGCGCCACAACTCAGATGTGTGTGTGAGCTTGGACTTTAGGTGTTGAGACCAAAGTGTACTGCCACACAGGAAGTCAAACTAAATGAGCAGTTATGTGTCATTCCAGGATTATTAATGACAAGCAAGGGCAAATGCCGGTGGAGAAAATAAGGAGATTATGATCAAAAGCATCCCGTGTTATTTGTCAAACATGGTGCCGTTATTGTTATAACTTGGACAAGTAGGGGACCTGGCAGACCAGCACCTACTGATGATTTTAACTAATTAAGAAAGCGATAATATGAATATAGAGGTACACAGGAGTATTGTGTTGAGCCAAACTCAGCAAGACAAACAACAAAGCTTTTCAAGCTAAAAAGGTGGAACATCCCCACTTGGTCCAATCAACTGCAAAGATTTCGATCAAATTGGGTGTCTTCAACTTGCTGAAGATCTGAAAAAGACAGAGGGACTCCATGACAAGCTAGAGCTGACAACGGCTGGTCTGAACATCACCCCTGAGCATACGCAGTGTTGGGCGATGTCTGTGGGATACAGACGGGTACTGACTAATGGCGCAGACAGAAAGTTCACACCAAAACATCGATGGTGTAGTAGCTTATCCAGTACATCATTCTTCAGAATTCACAGCTTATTTCCCGTAAAAAGAAGACCTACTAGCTAACCACTGTGTGCAAATTTTAACCAAAATCTGACATAGAAGTAGCATGGACTCTTTTGAAAATGGAAAAGTGCCCATAAAAAACAACAAATGTGACCCTGACCTTGTGCAGATTTCAGGTGATGACCCACTGGGTGTAAGTTTGAGTAAATTCTGACAAATACTGTTGGATGAGTAACAATTCTTATGAACTGCAGACAGATGGACAGCAGGACAACTCATCAACGCATAAGCTGATTGGTGCCTTGACCAGATGAGCTAAAAATGAAATTGCATTTTTCTTTACTTCGTGGTAATTGCCTAGCAACTTTTAAAGCTCTGAACTTGGAGCAACATGTAATGAAAGGATATGTCTTTTACACAAATACTCTCCCAAACCTACTAATTAAAGCCTTCAATAGAGCCTAAATGTGCTTAAATACAGAACTGTATAAAAAAAATGTCAAAATACTTCTGACTACAGTGACTTCAAGAGCTAAACTGGTAAAATCGCAGTATGAATTAAACCTAATGCCAGAAATCGTTGAAAAATATTCATAAGTCAGTGTAGCTGATCATTGGCTAATAATCAGTCCTGCTTTTTTTCACACTTACAATCTTAAACCCAACAGACTGAAAGACTGAGACAAAAATACCCCCACCCCTTCTACCCCACAATAAAGCAGCTCTCTCACTATTAGAGTATAATATCACAGGATCTAATTAGAATACTGTGTGTCTCCTTGTGCTTTGTTTACTGTCATGTGAGTCATTAATGTTCAGTTTGTACTCGGTTGATGATGCTCTTTGTTTTATTTTTAGTTTGTGCTGCGCACTGCGGACAATTAAGTTCCCAATAATATAATTTATTAAAGGCATACAAAACAAAGCTATAATAAAAATGCAACGATTGCAAGGTTTCGATTAACACGGTCCTAACAGGGTTCCCAGTGGTGAAGCGATGCCCTGCTAGAGTCGGCAGGAGCACACGAGCTGAACCATCTGCACTGAGCTGCAAATGTGGTAAACCTGCACATGGACTTAGTGGGTGGAAAAAAAAAATCAATTTTGATAAATCCTCCTTAGTCACTACAAAATTACAAGACAAATCTGTTGAACAACATAATTATATATCATATGACAGTTGGGAGTCTGATCTCCTGTCTTACACGTACCATACCTTTGTACCTGAGCCTACACTGCCATCTGCTGCTTTATGATTTAAAATCACGCCAGAGGCCCTGCAGAGTGGGTGGGGTGATAGGTCATGTGTTGCATTCAAGTTCTATTGTAAAAACCTAACCTTCAAATTATTTATATATTAAATCCGTAAAGGACTAGCACCTCCTTTATTTACTACATTCGTATTTTGGAAAAACGACTTGGAGAGATTAAAAAGATCAGGAATGAGATTGTTTTCAAATGAAGAAAATATCCTTTAGCCAGCTTCCCAGTTCTGGAGCATCCTTCCCTTGTTTCATTGCCCGATGACCTCCCCTTTACCCTTAATCTAGAGGTTTTACACATCAGGATATATCAGCAAAGATGTGGTTTGACGGTCATTAGAACAGGTTCAGGGTCTTTTTTAGGGTAGCCCTGAAAGTAAGCTGTACACACAGAGATCACCCTCCCTGAGTTCTGATGTATACCCAATCATATTGGCCTGGAATGAGGCCTAAAGTGTAACAAAAACCACTCAGATCAGAAAAGAGAAACAAGGGTTACTGCTAGTAGATGTCCGAGGGTAAAAGAGGTTTTGTATGCTCCTCAAAGGGAATGAGTGGTTTCATTTACTTCAGTTTAAAATACAAATTTGTTTATCAAATGGCAAGAAATAACAGCTGTGCTTACCTGCAGAGTCACCCCTAAAGACCCATTTTAAGCCAAGAAAAACCCTGCAATGTAAATGTTCCCCCTTTGCTTTTACTATTTTTGCATTAAAAATAATGCTTGTACAATATTCTTGTTCAACAGTATCTACTATTTGCTGTTTGTATCATAAGTGTGTTTTTCTTTGCTCTGTTCTCTTAAGCTTTTTATCCTTGTTTCTCTTGGTTTCTCCAGTAATGGCTCTAAATGTTGTTCTTTTAAGTTTTATTGCTTTTAATGGCTGATTTAACATCTGGAACATTCAAAGTAATGTTGATAAATGATGTGAGTTGTCTCGGGAAAAAAGACCAAACAAATAAACTAATGTTTGTAAGTTTTGCATTTAAAGCTTTCATTAGGAAATAATTATTCAATATTGTAATAAATTGCATTTGGCGCTTTGCATATCAGGGGTGTAACCTCTTGTTGTGGTGAGGTTTTATTTCTTTGTTTTTATTCAACTCTTTACTTTTAATGGAATAAGGCACAGTTATTGAAAAATAGAGGGCAGTCAAGTGAAGTAAACATACCGATTCAGTGTCATTTGCCGCAGTGTAACACCATGACATGAATTTACTAGATCAATATCGATGATCAAGCGTGGCGCACCTGCAAAACACTTGTAAGCTTATGCTTGCTTCTCTCAGTCTGCCACTCTTACCAAATATGGGATACAAAAACATGGCTGGAAACACAAACTGAAACCATGATTCCTAAAACTGTTGGGATACTGCATAAAATTTCAATGTTAAAAAGGAATGGAATGATTTGAAAATCATTTGCAATAAAACAGAGGAAGAAATATCATGTGCTTAAAGTTAGAAAATGCACCATTTTATGAAAAAAATAAGGTCATTTTGAATTTGATGGCAGCAACATGTTACAAAAAAGTTTCGCTTCTTATACCAACAGTCGACAGGAATGCTTCCATTCTTCTCTGATATCAGATTCTAGCTGCTCTGCGGTCCTGGGTTTTCTTTGTGGAGTTTTTCATTTCACAGTGCACCAAATGTATTCAGTTGGTGAAAGCTCTGGCCTGCAGGCAGCAGCTGCTCGCTTCTATTCTGAAGCCATGCTGTTGTAATAGATGCAGTATGGGGTTTAACATTGTCTTGCTGAAATATACAAGGCGTTCTCCGAACACGTTGTCTGGATAGCAGCAGAACTGACGGTAAGCTCCCAGATGTTTAAGCTGTCAGTTGCATCAGCACTACTGCATACCCACACGATCAGACATGCGAGCTTTTGAGTTAAGTGCTGATAACAGGCCGGGTCGTCCCTCCCCTTTTTAGTCTGGAGGATGTGACGTCTGTGTTTTCCAAAACGAATTTAAAAATTTGACCCATCTGACCACAGGACAGTTTTCCACTTTGCCTCAGCCCATTTTAAATGAGCTTTGGCCCAGAGAAGATGGATCACGTTTGGCTTCTTTTTTCATGTTAAAGCTTTCACTTCCGTTTGTGGATGGCACGGTAAACTGTGTTCACAGACGATGATTTCCTGAGCCCGTGCAGTAATTTCCATGCCAGAATTATTCCTGTTTGTAATCCAGTGCTGCCTGAGGGGCCAAAAATCACAAGGACAGAGATTTCTCCAGATTCTCTGAATATTTTGATGATGATACGTAGGCCTAATATAAGTGATGAGATTAAATCTTCACATTGAGAAACATTATTCTAAATTGTTAGAATTTGTAGACACAGGTTTTTGAAGATTGATGAACCTCTGCTCATCTTTACTCCTGAGAAATTCTCTAAGATGCTGCTTTCACACCCAATCATGTTACTGACTTGTTGCCAGTGAACATAACTGGTTGTAAAATGTTCCCCCTGTAGTTACATTTCCAGCCTTTCATTTCTCCCTTTCCCAACTTTTTCAAGATGTGTTGCTGGCTGCTATTAAATTATTTTAAAAATTGAATATTTGTCATGAAATACTAAAATGTCTCACTTTAAACATTTGATATGTTTTCTATGTTCTGCTGTGAAATCATTCTGATTTGACTTCTTGGGAATTGGAACTGTAGTTTCCTGATATTCCTCAATTAGAAAAGCACTGACTGGACTCTCACTATACCACCAACAATAAGCAATGACATACTGTGTTTTCTTACCTTAAATCAGGTATTTTTTTTGTTATTAGTTTAGTAGGATTCAGATCCAAACCCAGTCTGTCAGTTTATGAGATCTGGGCCTATGTTTGAATGCTGTAGGTGAAGATACTCATATTTAGTCAACAATAACAACAATAACAATATTAATATTAATGAGAATAATAATAATAATAGGGGGGTTGTATTCAGTCTCTGGAGAATTTCAACCCATCTGCTGCTCACTTTTTCAAACAACACTTGAATGCAGCTGCTCTAATCTGGTCTAATCTGGGCAGCAGCATCACCAGATGAGCAATAACATCTGTGGATACCAGCTTTCCCGTTCAAGTGAAATTAACGCGTTGCTGTCGTTTTCTGGAAGAAAATGTCGATAACAACTTGCCAGAAGGTTACTCTTATATCATGCTCTGTTCTCTGTGTTTCTCTCTTTCTGCCCAGGATGCTTTTGCCCAGAGCGAAACAGGAGATGGGGCAGCCTGAGGGTAAGACGGCTTATCAGATCATCATCCATCCCCATCCTGCTCCATCTCCAGTGTTTTTTGTGTCAGTGCTGCTGTTGTTAATGCCAGCTGTTACTCAGTACAGACCATGCCAGGCACAGAGGCCCTATCCTTCATAGTCCACACAAGTTAGCTGAAATCTTACACTGTACAGCGAGTTAAAAAAAAAAAAAAAACTGCATTCACCATATTTTGAAGAACAAATAATTTGGTTGTTAAAACCCATTTGAATCAGTTTGACCATTTATCTAAATCTGAAACAAGTGATGTGTTTTTGTACGTTTCCCATCGTGTTAAGCATGAGCGGCTGTGTTTACAGAGACAGGTGTGCATTGACTCCAACAGACAGCGCCTTTTCAAAACTTCTCATTGAAGCAGTTAAAAAACATTCACAAGAAACACAGTATGTGACTTATTTGTTATTTGACTTTAGCCTGATATCAGTTTCACACAGTCACGAGCAAACACCCAGAGGTGCTGTCAAAACGGATCAGTCATCACAGCAGGGGCATCTTATCAGATATAAACTGGTAGTGATTTCACACTAGACCATAAACAACTGGAATTTTCAAATCTAATAAGAGGAAAATTGGTGACCTTATACGAAATGTGAACATACTACAGTCAAAAATAGAAAGCTACTGTGGATTGCACGTTATTCTTAGATATTATTTATATTATTATTATTTAGAGAACAAGGAATGTGGTTAGTGATTTGGTTTTAGACATTGGGGCACAGTTTGCTTTGCTTTTCTTACACATTTTCACAGCCTAATAACTACAACTTGCTTTAGGTTCACTGACTGTCTTCAGCTAAAAGCAGCAATGGGTGGTTACAAAATTTACCCAAACAGTAACCAATGCTGGCCAACAAACAACCCAAGGAGACTAAATATTTCAAAATGTTCCCAGGCAGATATTGACATGGCAGTTTTCCAGACTACTCTCTGTGCTGTGTTTCGCCTAACTGCTGTAACTGAGCCAATTTATGCCTGCTAGCAACCACTGACTGTATAAAACAGTACAGTCTGTGCTAGCACACGAATATAAAGCTGCAAACTTTCCACACAGTTTCTTACCTTATTAATCCAAACAGAGACCCTCTCTCTTCTTTACAGCCACATTTAAATGTGCCCAGTGTTAGGGGACGCAAACATTTAGCTGTTAGCTAGTTTTTTCAGTGTGTTGTGGCCAGTTTTCACCTCTGACAGGTGAGACCAGAGCATGCTAACATCCTCATTTTCTTGGAACCAGATGTGCGCGCGCGCGCGCGCGTGTGTGTGTACCTTCTCACTTTGCAATTTTTTTTCCGCAGGCCGATTTTAACGAGCCTCCCAGTCACATCTTCCACTTGTAGTGCTAGTTAACTCCCAGATGGGAGCAGCAGCGAGCTTGATTTGACATAAATGCTGAAACATGCTGAGCATAAGCATCAGCAGGTCTGTGTTCCTGCACAGAGGAGTGTCAACATTCTCGAAACAGGCTTCTGAAAAAGCAATAACTATAAATAAAAACAAATCCAAATGTAGGCATTTCATTTTACCCAGGGCTTTCCTGACTGCTTTGACCTTCTTATGTTTTTGACATTGTTCTCAAATATTGATCTGATCCCCATGAATCTCTTCACTTTATTTGTTACAAATTGGATCTCTTTTATGAATAATAGTTAATATAGAGGAAAAAGTGTTCCCAAATGGGCTGGACCATCCAGTGGGCATCATAGGAATGTGTCCATGGGTCCATGCACAGTTAGGGGCCAATCTAAGAGGCATTAGACATTATCATTATAAAACACTGAAATGTTCTGGCTGCTTTATCTAATTACTAAAGAAAAAAAGAACGAAGCCTAACTATGAAAAAAGACACATTTTATGGATAAATGTTATCAAATTAATCCAGAGAATGATAGCATTTAAATAATCGTTAAGTAAAATCTAATTAAAGATACTAAAAGTTTAATGGCTGAGGATACATTCCCCGTGATATGTTTTCGGGGGAAAATTGCTTTATTGATTCTTATTAATTGAATGAAAGACTATTTTTGCAGTTGGACCTGGGTTCTACCCTCCCGCCATGCACAAGCTATCAGTGCCAGAAGACCCAGAACAGTGGGACGTGGACCCTTCGTTTTCAATGACACACAGTTTGGAGGCAATGGCAAAGGTAAAAGGCATCAGACGAGGCAAAAAGTACAACCTGATGACTCAAGTGATACCCTTATATGGCTTTGGGATCCTTCTTTACATCCTTTACATTATACATAAGGTAATTTTAATTTCTAGAGCTTCTATATACTATTTGTTATTAACTTCATGCAGAGCTATAGTATGGTAAATGTAACTGTATACTCAATTAATCTAATTATAATCATGTTTATGTTCACAGCTGACATGTAGGGGGAAGGCTAATAAACCAGGGAAGAACTCTGCAGTAACCGTGGGAACCAGGAAGAACACAATAAGTAAGAGAACTACGAGAAATGTAAAATCATTTTCTTCTTCTTAAGATTGAGGGGGATACGTTTTTTGACGTGTCCAAGTGTGCATTGTGTTTAGTGAATTATATTTTAACATCAAAACAATGTTGTCCCGTGTAAATTGTGTAGTCACTGCTAATGAGCTTGCCAGGCTGCAGGAGAGACTTCTCCAAACTGAAGAGATGATGGAGAGGATTGTGTCCAGGAGGAACAATAGTTCTGGGAGGTGAGACTTATTTATTCATTTATTTTTATCTGCTTGTGTTTTACTTCCAGTAGCACCACAACAACAAAGAAACTGTGATGAATTAACTAAGTAAAGACAAATAAAGAAGAAGTAGTCATAAAATACATTTGTATGTATTTGTTTTATAGAGCGATATACACAGGCAGGGTTACTTTACTTCACTCTGTGCTGCTCTCTAGTGGTAGACGAAGGAGGAGTAAAACCACCACGTCAAAAAAGGAGGAGAAATTACTCAGGCAGCTGAGACAGATCACACAGCTTATTCAAGAGAGCCAATTGGAGGGAGCCTCCCCAGAGATGGAGGCCGAGGAGGTCCCATACGGTGCAGACTGGGAAGGTGCATCTGAAATGTCGAACTGCTCCCATTTTTTGCACAATTTGCATTTGCTCAAGTTGTTACAGCCGTGAAATGAAGTGCATTTTAAATTTGAGATCAAATCTAATCTCTATCAAATCCTCACAATAAAAATCTGATGAAGTCTCTTTGAACACCAATGCAGGTTACCCAGAGGAGACCTACCCAGAGTATGATGAACCCTGCCTCAGACGTGGGTTTAAGACGGTTAAACTAGAGGAACCCCCCACACAGCCCACCGCTGAGGCCCTAGCAGAGAGGATGGAGCAAGAGGAGGAAGAGGTTATGGCAAGGAAACTTTCCATAGTGCGAGAGGAAGAGGAAGAGGAAGAAGATGAGGAGGAGGAGGACACAGAAGCACAAGATGATGAGGATGAAGAGGAAGAGGAAGAAGAGGAGGGACTAGAAGAAGCTATGGGAGTAGAGGAAGACATAGATGAGGAAGAGGAGGAGGAGGAGGAGGCAGAGAAAAGGCAGTTGCTCCGTCCTCCATCATCCCAGCCGGGTCCTGAAAGAACGACAACAAGAATTGGTTTGGAGGCGAAGAAAGAGCTGCAGTGTAACAATAGCGGGAAGAAGCAAATCAGCTTCAGCGAGCACAAGGATGTCTTCCACTACCCTAAAGAGGACACTTACGAGGATGGGGAAGAGGACAAGGAAGATCAGATGGAGGAGGAGGACGAGGACACAGAAGTGGAAGAAGAGGAGGAAGCTGATGAAGATGACCCAGTGATGGAGGCAGAGAGCCTGCAGTTCAGCTGTGATGGCAGTTCAAATCCAGAGGAGGAAGCAGAGGAGGATATAGAAGGCAATATTTTAATGTCAGCAAACGTGGAGGGGGAGGGTCGAATCTATGCAGACACACCCAAGGAAGTCGGGGTGAGCGGCCTGAGGATGCGGAACAGGAGGGAGACATAAGGACTTTTCCTGCTTCTCAAATGCGTTTGAAAACAGACAGTGAACTCAGACTTGTGTTACTATTACTTCCTTATATGTTTAAACCATAAAATCCAAACTAAACAGAGGCATGCAGTTATGTTCTTAAGTGATACTTTTGTACAAATAAATGTTTCCCTTTACCACAAGCACCTCAGATGACTGCAATGCATTTTGTTTTCTATTTACATTCACATTTCCAGAACAATTACACCCCTATGAAAGATTTAAAGGGGATAATGGTACTTTTTCATTCAGAATTTCACGGTTTCTTCTTTTAAAACCTATTCAGTACATTTGCAATATGTTAAACGCTACACTCAATGTGTTAACCTGTTATAATTTTAAAAGCTGTCCACATCCACGGTGTTCACCCTCACAGCTGTTTTCACTTCTTTGCCTGATTAAACCACTTTTTAGGTCAGCGGAGATCTGTATAACAGTGCTCACCCAAATGTTCAGTCAGTCAGGTTAATTTAATCATCTGTGTGGGTGTGAAAAGCCTTTAATTTAAAGAACTGAAGGGCAAGTCTCAATTAAATCTTGATCTTGGCACCTGAAACATTTTGTTTCGCACAGTGTGAAGCTTTCTATCTAAGTGTGTGTTTAGTTTCCACTGCATGTTTCCAGAATGAGAGTGTGCTTAATGACAAACATGGAGACGCACAGATGAAAATGGGTCCAAGTATCATCCTGATACTAACAGCAGTCAGGGTGTCGTTACCTAGGCTGTAGAGGTCTGTCCATCCCTCCATGGATATGCCTCCCCAGACCATCACTGACGCACCACCAAACCAGTCATGCTGAATGATGCTACAGACATAATTACAGACAGGGCCAGGTTCGAAAAGGGGCAGCCAGCTGCCGTGACCTGTTGGTGATGAGGGGAAAAAGAGAGCAAAGCACACAAAAATTGAGTACATGATACAAGATTCAGTCATTTTACGATGTTTTATTTGTATTGACTGCACCTGTTTATGCATAATTGGGTCACTCTACTTTTCAGTTCCATCAGTAAAAATGCTAAATTTGGGGATTTTTTCTTAAAACAACTTTGTTAACTCATTCACTGCCATTGACGTCTATAGCCGTCAATGGCAGTGAATGAGTCAATGGGTTTAACTCATTCACTGCCAATGGCTGGCAGTGAATGAGTTAACATAAACTTCAAAAGACAATGTAGCAGGAAATCTCAGCAAGTATTTGGGGTTTTTAAATGTTTTTACTAATGTGTTTGATGATTTACAACGAAATATTTGGTGTGTACTCAGAGGTTTTATGGTTAGAGTATCTAATCCAGGTTGATTAGAATAAAAGTTGGTCCAATAAAGCAAGATCATTAGAAGAAACTCAACATCATTTATTGATATACACAATTCAATTATGGTATTTGCCAATTAGACTCTGATGGCCCTTTACAGCAAAATTAATGAAAGATGAGCAGTGCGACTTAAGGTATGCCGAAGACAGCAAGCAGAAAGATGATTGGACGACAATGTTTTACGGTACGGGAAGGTGGAAGTGATGTAATGAATAGCAGTCAGACACCTGAGGAAGCAGACAGATGAGTGAATGCAGATATTCCTTCTTGAACTTACACCTGAGCTTTATCACACACCTGGATTTGTAACCAGAAAAGTAAAGTATTGTAACAGTGTTTATTTCTTTGTGTAATAAAGACACATGACCATGTTCTATGATCGCTGTACTAACTTCTGAAACATCTGGATTCTTGAGGAAACAGAAATCATATTTTGGAGTATTTTTATGTAATTTTATTTCTTTTTTCCATGAACAAAGGACTGTGTACCACCAAAGTAAATTGTACACCATTTACTGTACATTACAATGACAGCACTAAAAACAAAGTGACAGAACCTCTGGCTCTTGGACACATGTATGAAAAGCAGACTTTACAGCAAGAGTATCAACAGTTTTAAAATAGAAATTTGAAATAGTTAGAACACAGTTGAGTACAAGAATAGCACATTTGATAAAGATTTGCTCAGAACCCACAGTAACAATAGTGGAGATTATTCGTCACCTCCATTCAGCATTTTTTTTTTAATGGTCGTAAAATACAAAATACCGTCATATATTTGAGAAAGGATACTGCCCCATAAGGAGCAAGAGGAATAATAGTTTGAGTAAAAATATGAACAGCAATAAACTACGTGATGTAGAAACTTACTGCCAGTCAGATGAGGAATGTATCATACTCCATCTCAGTGAAGCACAGAGCTAATTTAATACATAAAGCAAAAGATGGAAGATGCATCGAAGCTATGGTAGTTTCACATTGTACGAGTATGTCTGTTGGCAGTAAGTCAATTTCTGTTCGGTACATTTTCCAAGCAGAGATCAGAAGATACCAGCACAATCTTAGTGTCACGGCTGGGCAGCTGGTGTGTTTAAGGTATGGACCCAAAAAGCGGACGTGAGAGAACTGAACTAAAGTTAAACAAAAGGCGAGCTTTCATTTGGGCTGACACAAGAATCAAAGGCGAGAGGAGGACTACATAAACATAAATAAAGAAAAAAACTTAACTCGACAGCTAAGACTATAACTTTGACTAAGACTGACATGGGGGAAGATAGGCAGACGACCTGACAACGAACAGTAAGAGACAAAAGACTTAAATGTGCACATGAGGTGATGAGGGGCAGTGGAGACACGTGAGGAAACAGGTGACTAGAATGAACATAATGATGCCACAGGAAAATGTAAACCTAAATACAACGGGCATGGAAACGAGACTTTCAAAATAAACAGAAAACATGACGAGACGCAGACATGACAACATGAAGGACTAAAACAAAGGTGCCAAAACACAGGGGGGAATCTACTAAACAATGAACAATAACAGCAACCTAGCATAATAGAAATTAACTAGATAAGCTTAACTAGAACATAAAAACAGTGAAACTAAAAACACTGAGCCAGGACCGTGACACTTAGGCCTGAGTACCTCAGATATCTGCTATATATCTGTTGCCTGATTTACAGTATTATGTAAATAAATAGCCATCTATTTAGTGCAACATGTTCTGGACCCTAAATATAATTTTAAGTTAAAATCTTAAGATGCACACTTATTATTATCTTCTGAATGTTGTGCAACCTCAGGCATTGTTTTTCAGTCGAAATGAACTTTCATTAAAGAAAAAAAAATTCTAAGTAGCTACAGAGAAATCCTCTCGGTGTATGTGAGGAAAGCAAAAAATGCAAAGACCAATTCAAGCTCAGCTCCTTTTACGGCCAAGGTGTAACACTGGAATTAGTCTTCAAAGGCACAATAAAGTATGTACAGCTATAGCTCATCCACCACAGACTTCAAAGTAAAGTGCACCATCATCCTACACATTCACGTATATGACACTGTGACACAATATTGTATATGATACACAGCACTGTGTAACATGCCTTACCCTTTTTCATACCTCTAATTTTTTTTTTGTTTTTACTGTGGATACAAGTGATCTTCCTCTCATGACATTTAATGTGCTTGCAGTTCCGTGGAACGATTACAGCAGAATTTGTTGCAAATGACAGCAGAGAACATAAAATGTGCAGGTAATAAATATGTCAATAAAATAAATACATTGTGACATGCATGTTATTATTAATTCAGTAAGTATATAAGCAGTATCCATGCTCGAGGAAGCGTGTGACTTTGTGTTGGTAGACTACATAAACCCAGTCAACTTTTTTTTTAAACTTACTGATGTATAACGGTTAGTTATAGTTCACAGATAAAGAAATGTTAAATTACTAGAACTACTACATAAAGAAACATATTTATAATGCCAGTGCAGTACAAAATGACTATAGTTATCAAAACAAATGAATCTGATTTGGAAAGTGGATTACTCTTTGTGCTTGTTTTCTTCCACTGACAAACACCATCCTGAGGTCCCACCCCACCCCCACACACATACGTACACATAAGTTAAGTCCCATAAAGCATTTCAGGATATGTGGGACTTCCAAGGTAACGGGTGATCTCAAATCAGCGATACATAAGCAGCCCTTGTTGAGACAACAGGAGGAGTTGTTATCCACTGAACTTCAGGCTGGAGTCTATTCACAAGCTAACTTGCTGTCAAAGCTGGAGAGGGCAATAGCAAAGGCTTGCAGGGCACACATTGGGTAGTTATAGTCCATGGTGAACACATCTTCTGCCACACGGCCAAACTGCATCACAATATAGTCAGCTGCAGAGGGGAAAACAAGTAGGAAACAGATTATGTCTAAGCTGATTTGAAACATTTCCCCTTTTTACTGTTTCTTCACAAAACTCACAAGTACCTATTTCTTTATAGCAATATTAATATAGATAACTGACAAAATAAGCTGTATGATATAAAGTATAGTGTAAAATAATCTGCCCCTCAGCAACAGTTCCACTAACTTTCTGTAGTTTCTCTTTGGCTGCTTTTTCACTCATTTTCAATCCAGTTTTTGTTCCTTTCTTTGGAACTATGAAAAAAGTCAAATATAACACAGTATGATGGGCAAAAAAATTGTATTTTATGCCAGCAAGTGAAGCAGTGTGGGATCGTCTCAACAGAGAACAGAACAAAAGGCATCCAACATTCAAAGAAGAGCTTTGAGAGTCCTTCAAGAAACCTGGAAAACTATTCCTGAACACTCCTGAAAGAAATTCTAAATCTGTCTGACAAGTACCTATATGTAAAATAATACTGTCTAATTTAATAGCATCCACAGTATCAGGTTATGTGGCTGTCTCAAACAGTCATTGGGTAAAACAAGATTATAAAACAGAAACAGAAATTAGTCTTTAGCCTTTGTTTAGTATTTAGAAATGTTATGTGTGGACGAAAGCTTACGGTCATTGTCGTGAATAATTTGGAAATTCTTAACGGAAGCCTGAGTGACTCTGCCGTGGAAGTTGAGCACGTAGGACTGTGTGTCATCGTTCCACACAGGCGTCTTGTTGTGAAGTTCAATCACGCTCTCTGTGTTCTTGTTCTGCCACCTGGCCAGCAGTGACTCATGATCCTGTAATGAAGAAGAATAGAAAAGCCTTGGACATGGACACCATATGTATCGGATCGATTAAATAAGTATTAGAAGAGGCTGAACTGGTCAGAGCAGCTGCGACTACTGAGAAATTGGCCAACACATACATTTCGTGGCCGAATAGAAACTCTCTCATGGTCCATGTTCATTCCAGGAATGATGACACTCATTTTTCGAGGCCCTTTAAATCCTAAGACATTGGTTTCCTACATTTAAAAAAGAGAATTAAAAAAGATAAACAGATCACCTCTCAATGCCCTTTCTTAAACAAATGTTATCCTAAGGTGGATTACTGAATGTTATTTCTGGATGCAGTTACATAAAGCTGTACTTTTCAAAGCATTAGCTTTAGCTAATATTTGTCGTTTTGCTCACTGCCATCGTAGGACGACCGGCTGACGTCCATGTCATTTCATTTTTGACCTATTTTTAAACCATGACCTGGCAAAATGTAGCTCATTTAGTTAACCTTTATTTAACCATGACGCTCTTTTTCAAGGGAGACATGGCCACATCTCAATTTTAAACACTGCATCTGAA